TAATCAACAATTAATGTTGAAATTAATGTTCAAAATCCATGCCTTCAGACCCATGTCTTAATGAATCTCCTTCTCTTGCCAACAGCCAAGGAAGACAATGAATAACCTTTTCCGACAGGACACGAGAGCACAACTCTTACATCTCCAGGCTCCTGAAATACACTTCCCTCAGCAAATTCCTTTAGTCCCTTTACAGGAAGAGACAAAAAAAACCCCCAAACAACCCTTGCCCTGATGCTGTTGGGACCTCAGACCCCCAGGGCCAGGCTGCTGGTTCTTCTCCAGCCTCCCCAGGGAGGGGAGAGCTCCCCACTCCTGCCCACTGCGCCCGTAAGACCAGCATCTTCATTCTGGGATGCCTTCAAGCCTCATCACACTCCAAGAGCCCACAAGTCTCCTCCTGACCCTGCTGTCCCTCCCCTACACCTTTCCACACCATCCCCCTCCCTGTCCCAGGACAACCCCTGATTTAAATCCACCCGTAAGAGTTTTACACCTGCCCCAGACGCTCTCCAGCTGGTGCCCAAGTGACACTGATCCCTGTTGTCCTCCTGCTCCACGTTCCTCTTCCACACCAGGCATGGAAGCCTCCTCCTCCCTGCACTCCCCAGGCTACCCAGGTGACACCAGTCCAGTTCAGCTGAGAAACAAGACATTTACAAAGCTCTTCTCCCTGTTATTTTTCCTGAGGAGCCCACATGAGCCATCAGCTGACAAAGAAAATAGCACAAAACCACCAAAAGAACAATAAAGGTGAAGAAGCTACAGCATCTGAGACACCACAAAGAGGTAACACCTTTGAAATGATCCTTATTTTTTTTTCTAGAAGGAGAAGGTGGCTATGGATGGGATCATTTGAGACACCAGTTAGGACTTTGGACTGGGGGGACATCAATGGTGTCCTTGGCCATGCCTGGGTATCAAAAAGACCAACCATCCACTTCTCCTGCTCATTCTGTTTAGGCATGAGGTCCTCAGTGTTGCCACCAGCACCTGAAGGTTGGCTTCACCCCACATCTGCCAAGTGACACTGCTGCAACCCCCCTAAAAAAAATCCCAGTGCCACCCAGCACAACCCTGCAAGCTCTGGTGAAGTTCAAAGCAGGGTCTGTCCTTGTTCATCACCACCCATCCCCACCACTGAGCTGCTCCAGGCTCCTCAAGGGGACAGTGCTCAGCAGGGACCTCCCAGCCCCATGGACTCAAGCCTTTTACGTGCTGTTCTCTCTCTCCAAAGTGATTCAAGACAAAACAGCTTCTGGAGGGGCTAGAGCAGCCTTGCCACATCTGAGAGGACACTCAAATCCATCAGGTTCAGTCCAGCTCTGGGGTTAGAGAGCAGACAGCAAAGACTCTGCTGCCTGAGCTGGGTGGTGCCCTGAAACACCAGCTTGGAAGAGCCCTCCTGCTGTTTGCTGTCATTACAACATTGGGCACAGTCACCAATTCCCACGTAAAACCAGTAGTCACTTCCACAGCAGCAACAAGGAACAGTCTCCAACCCCGTTCCCAGGGGGTAGAGAGATCAGCTGTAAACTCTGCTGTGTCAGAGCAGGGGCAGGAGCTGCCACATCCACGGGCACTGCCTCCCTGGGCTCCTGCACTGCCCTCCTGCATCCCCAGCAGTTCCTCCTCACCATCCATCCCCATCCCACTCTCCAGATCCCTCTGGGACCTCTGAAACTATTGCTTTCCACCAGGATCTTTCCCCCTCTGATTCCCAATCCCAGCACCACCATGCTTTCCATCGGCAAGCATCAGATATATATGTAAGAGATGGACATGGAGCTCCTGGGGAGAGTCCAGAGAAGGACCATAAAGATGATGGGAGGGCTGGAGCAGCTCTGCTCTGGAGCCAGGCTGGGAGAGTTGGGGTGTTCAGCCTGGAGAAGAGAAGGCTCCAGGGAGACCTTAGAGCACCTTCCAGTGCCTGAAGGGGCTCCAGGAAAGCTGGGGAGGGACTTGGGACAAGGGCAGGGAGGGAGAGGACAAGGGGGAAGGGATGAAAACTGGAAGAGGGGAGATTGAGGTGAGACATGAGGAGGGAATTGTGGAGTGTGAGGGTGGTGAGAGCCTGGCCCAGGTTGCCCAGGGAAGCTGTGGCTGCCCCATCCCTGGCAGTGTTGAAGGGCAGGTTGGATGGGGCTTGGAGCA